GGGGAGGGAAGCTGCGGGCCGGGGGCAGGACGGCGCGGCCAGGGAGCTGAGGTGAGCGGGGCTGGGTCGGTGTGGGGCGCGCGGCTTCCCCGGGCGGCAGCGGAGCCGCTCGGTCGTGACGTAATTACCTGAGAATTAGCGAAACTTGTGTTTCTGCTTATCGACAGCGAGTCGCGCTAATCGGCGGTGTTCCGTGGTCTCAGGAAATAGAGGAGCAAAGCTGATTTTCTGCTTTGAAGGCGGCGGTGCTGGAGCCGCTTCAGGGAGGCTTATTGGGCATTGTTTGTGCTTTGCAGAGACCTACTTAGCGTTTAATGAGGGCAAGATCTGCTGCGCTTGCTGTGAACCTACCTAGTGCCTCGAATTTGTCGGGTTGTTTTGCGAGGAGGAGCTTGCAGGCATCCCTTGGCTTCTGCCCTTACGTTCTGTGTGTTTACGTTATTTATCTGTGGAGATAATTTGTGGTGCCTTGCACTGGGCTCGATTCACTGGCGAAACCTACTTGAGGAGTAGTTGAGTAGCTGTCGGTAATACGAAAATAAAATAAAAATAAAAAAAGAAACAGTGAACACTAACATTTGCTTAGAGGTCTTAAAAGCAACCTCGGTGCAGTGTGACCCTAAAAACTTCTCTGCTATCCCTATCTGCTGTTTCCTTTCCGGAAACAGTGACATTAAATAACGGCTTCATTAGTTTATATTTAGGAATTGCAGAAAGCATACTTGAGGCTGCACTCTAGTGCTACTGAAAGCTTCTAGAATAACTGGAGCAGTATCCTTCTCCCTTTGGTGAGAATGTCATTGTGGCATGAGATGAAAATTGGTGTCACTCTGGTCTCTCCTCTGTACTTTTACACCCTTGAAGGAGTCGGGAGCATCATTAGACACTTGGGACTGCATAATGCTGTAGGTTATTTGCCTTGCAGATGTATGTACATTCCTCACTGTTAAGTTTATGCTGCAGACATAGTCATAACCTACAGTGAAACTGAATTATTAAGGATGATCTGGACATTTTTGCAAGTATTTTTTTATTTTGGTGTAAATTCTATCACTGTAGGCTTTTATCTGTTCTTATCAGTAGTGTGGATGCTGGGAGCTTTGAGGAATTTAATTTTTTCAGTAGTGACCAATGACTTCAGTGTTATTTCAGTTTTGTTTAATCAGGTAATTGTAATACAAAATTAGTAACTGGAGAGAGTTCCCAAGTGATACATCACTCATACATACATACCTTTTTTACCACCCCTGGAAATTTGTTCTAGAATAGCTTTTGGCTGACTTCATTGTAGTCCTACAAAGATAAACTATTGGTGAGAGAAATTATGGATCATTGAATTAATCTGGTGTGCAGGGTCACTTTCTAGCTCCTGGTGTGTCACCTTTGAGCAGGCAGTTGATTGGGAGATAAAAATATGGCCCTAATAATGGGATTCCCTATTTAACAATCTGTGTTTGTAGGGTCCTTTTAGCACCCTAAGATGGATGGAAAATTAACAGCTTACTGTTTTTTAAGTCTGGCTGATGTGTAACAAGACTGATGGTGAAGTGAATCCCTTTTTAGAAGCTCTGATACTGAAATTACCATCTTATAAAGAAACAATGGACAAGGCCTGTGGCACATGGATGTTTCTGCCAGTGCTGAGAGGAGCAGCAGCTTTGCTTGGTTTGGGTCAGAACTGTGTCTTTGCATGTTTGGGAGCTGGAGATTATATCTCTGCTAGCTACAGATGGAGACACGTGATTGATTCAAATCAGCAATAAATTCTTATAAATCTTGAGCTTATAGAATTAATCACGTTAAATCTATTATGAAGAAACAATTCACCGTGTGAGGAAGGATGGGATTGCAGCTTTTGTAACACCTCCCCAGTGCTGTGGTCATGCTACAGGTTTTTTCAGTGTTGCTGTGTCTGCGGTTGCCCTTTTGCATTAGGAGCAATGCAGAACTGCTCCAGAAGACCCTTAGCCACCTGTCACTTTTGTGCTTAGAATTTTAACAGGCTAGTCCTTCAGAGTGTAGCGATTCTTTTGAGCAAATGGCATCCCTGAATAGTGAAGATGTGTGTCATGACCCGGCAGCCCTGTCCCTGCACGATTTGGAGATCCTGCAGCCCCTGCGCAGCCGGTCTGCCAGTGTCAGCAGCACCCGCCCCCGACGCCGCGTCCAGCTCCGCCAGCGCGTCGCGCAGCTGATGGCGCGCGTGGAGGACATCAGCTCGGATGACGAGATCCATGAAGAAGTGTCTCGCACGCTAGATGAAGCTTTTCTTATCTGGGGGAAAAAGCTGAAGGATAAGTGGCAAGAACTCAGGTTTTGTTCCCTCTAGTTGGCTGTTTTTGTGTTTGTTTCTATTTAACGCTAGTTAATAAACAGATTTCTGGTTGATGAGAAGTGACAGAAAATCTGTCTTTTCTGTAGAGAGAAATTCTGTGGGGAAATTAGATGCTGTCAGGAGTTGTTGCGTGCAGCAATAAATTCTTATAAATCTTGAGCTTATAGAATTAATCACGTTAAATCTATTATGAAGAAACAATTCACCGTGTGAGGAAGGATGGGATTGCAGCTTTTGTAACACCTCCCCAGTGCTGTGGTCATGCTACAGGTTTTTTCAGTGTTGCTGTGTCTGCGGTTGCCCTTTTGCATTAGGAGCAATGCAGAACTGCTCTGGAAGACCCTTAGCCACCTGTCACTTTCGTGCTTAGAATTTTAACGGGCTAGTCCTTCAGAGTGTAGTGATTCTTTTGAGCAAATGGCATCCCTGAATAGTGAAGATGTGTGTCATGACCCGGCAGCCCTGTCCCTGCACGATTTGGAGATCCTGCAGCCCCTGCGCAGCCGGTCTGCCAGTGTCAGCAGCACCGGCTCCAGCGGCCGCGTCCAGCTCCGCCAGCGCGTCGCGCAGCTGATGGCGCGCGTGGAGGACATCAGCTCGGATGACGAGATCCATGAAGAAGTGTCTCGCACGCTAGATGAAGCTTTTCTTATCTGGGGGAAAAAGCTGAAGGATAAGTGGCAAGAACTCAGGTTTTGTTCCCTCTAGTTGGCTGTTTTTGTGTTTGTTTCTATTTAACGCTAGTTAATAAACAGATTTCTGGTTGATGAGAAGTGACAGAAAATCTGTCTTTTCTGTAGAGAGAAATTCTGTGGGGAAATTAGATGCTGTCAGGAGTGGTTGCGTGTTCATGTTTCAGTTTCAGCATTGGTTTTATGTGATTTTTGTTTATTTGTAGACTGCACTTAGTTACCTGGAATGTAGGCACAGCTTCTCCGCCTCCTGATGTCACTAGTTTACTCCAGCTCGATTCAGACAGCCCAACTGTTGATATGTATGTTATAGGGTAAGTATATATGAAATAACTTGCTTTGTCAGTTTGTTGCGAAACTGCTAAGTGCCAACAGCTCACTGTACAATCACTGTCTAACGATGGTTTAACGTTATTGTTAACTGAAGGTGGAGACTAGAGTTAGTGACTTGAAACAGAGATGATTTATAGCAAGAGAATCTTCTTTCTGCTGTTGTTTTGTGACAAAATACAGAATGCCTTTTTTCTAAACACACAAAAAATGGGCTGCTGATTATTGGCACATAGAGGCATATTCATTTGGATATGAAAGTTACCAGAATTCAGCATGTTTTAAAGCAGTTAGTGCAAGCTTATTGGGCATGATCTGCCGTCGCATTTTCCAAACTTTCTTGAAAATTTTCAGAACTTTTAGTCAAGTTATTTATCATAACATATCTTGAGTCTAGCATTGTCTTAAACTCTGTCTCCAGGAGTGCATAAGATCCTGTAACTTTGCTTTGCTCAGCGTTAGCTGGGCTAGACTGGGTGGGTTAAACTGGTTGTAAGTGAGAAAATGAACAGCAGCAAGAAATGAGGCTTGTGCTGAGAGGTGTGTTAGGGTAGTGGGGTCTGTGTTCTGAAGAGGTTATATGGATTCTGTCAAAACCAAGTGATACAGTGTGAGTAATCTTTACGTGTTCAGCTTACAGGAGGTGAACTCAAGAATCACAAATTTTCTGTCTGACTTGGCATTTGATGATCCATGGAGCATTTTTTTCATGAGTGTATTGTCTCCATTAGGATTTATGAAGGTAAGTTTTTGCATCTCTTTCACTATAAATATCCCAGGCTATGGCAGTGATTTCTGCTAAGATTGGTAGGATTTATTTTTTTCCAACTTGTTTGCAGGTGAAAATAAATTGTGTATATATAAACCAGGATTTTAGTGAGTATATATATTTTTCTGAGGACTTTTTTTTAATTGAAGACCTAGAGCATTGTATAATAGTTTAAACGAGAAGAGTTTTGGAAGTATTTGAGGCATAAGATCAAGTAAATTATTAGCTATTTTAATAACGCAAACAACAAACACAGAAGAATATTCTGAATTTCTCTAATAAAGAGATATGATAAGCCTTTTGAATGTTGCATTGGTTTTCTGAAGCGTTGTTTCAGGGTGATTTTGCTGAGATTATTGTATTATCTGTGTGCTAATCAGACTCAGGAGGTGTGCCATTCTTTTAACTGTAATTAAACCAAACAAAAGACCCATAGGGAATTATGGAAAACAGAAAAATTATCGTTCATTCTAGCATAAGTCATTGCTGATAAACATGCAAAATCTGGCTGTGGGCTGGCATTCAGGCCTTGTAGACAGGCATTTAAAAAGAATGGTATGCATGGCTGATTTTGAATTCTAATTTATAAATGTGTCACTTTTGTCAACAGTAATGAATGGCTGCTGCCACCTATTGGTATACAGCAGGACTTGATTAGCTCTAATAATAAAAAGGGACTGTCAGGCCAGGTCAAAATCAAAATAGGCAGTGCAGAGAGCTTACTCTAGGACTTAGCTGAGAAGATGGCTGGGCAGGGGCTGTTTTTAGGGAATAACAGCCCTTCTTTGCTGACCTGTGACAAGGTTGGGTGTAGAGGGGATAGGATCTGTTTTCATAGTGTTAGTTTGGTTGAGGTCAGTCAATTAGTTCACCATAAATGTCCCCTTTGTGAAAGGCCTTTGCTTGATTTGTCACTACAATTGCTGGGACTGGTGCTAGCTCCAGCAGAGGAGGATTTATTGAGATTTCATATGGATCTTGAGAAATTCCTGGGAACTGACCCACAGCAGGGTGATATGTGGCAAATAATAAAGGAATTAAACAATATTGGTATTTTATGAACATAAATATTGAAAGAATACTGGTTACGTAGATCAGACACAAATACTTATGAATCACCTAGTAATTGAATCAGTAGACTGCTTACTATTTTCTTGGGTTCAAAAACAATTAAAATGTTAACATATATATAGAAATAATTGTGTTAATGTGGAGGGAGAGGAAGGCATTCTGACATGAGTTTGTGTACTTATGCAGCACTTGTGTAGTCAGTGTTATTCTTAATATCAGGTTTTATTCTAATGTAGTCTTTATCCAAGTTCATTTAGCATCAAATTGAACTAAAATTAATCTCTTTCAATATCTGTATCTAAATTGAAACATCATTAAAACAAACAAAATGAATTTTGTTTCTCATGCTAGAAGCATTGTAAAGTTCTTAAATTTTTAATGAGAAACATCTTTCTTAGACTATTTCCAGACACACAACAAAAAAAAACAACCCTAAACCACAAAAGTCCAACAGTATCTTCAAGCTTAACCAGCATCTTATGTGCTCCCTTGAGTGTCTTTGTTCTGGGAGTGTTCAGTAAATCAGTTCTGTGGGCATTGCAGGCAACAGTGCCAGCTGTTTGCAGCTCATTGCTTTTGCAAACACCTAGGAGTAACTGCTGTGCTTTTTAGGTATTCCCATGGCATTTAGAATGATCGGTTGTGTGCCAAAGAATGTTTCTGTTTGAAAAACTGACTCCTGTTGAAGGACTTGTGGGTGTGCACTGTTAAGATTATAGGTGAAAAATCACAGATTTGGTTTTTCACAAACAGGATGTTCAAAGGTAGAAACCAGAGCTGGTGAGGCAGAAGGAAGGTCCTTTAAAGATGTTTGGGTAAATACACGTTTTGAAGTAAAATTTAGATGTGTCATGTGGTGTTACTATTGTTAATGACTTGAGAGATTCACCACAATTTTTCATAAGCAGGTCACCACCAGTGTATTCGGCAGCCCTGAACTGTCTCTGCCTTTACCGTGGCTCAGCGCTGAAGGCAGGCTTGGCAAGGGAATGCCATTACTTCTGGTGTCCTTCATGTAACAAGAGCAAGGGATTCTGAACGCCATCCTGGAAATGACTGTTCCCTTTCTTGTGTCTGTTCCAGCTCTCCTCAGTTCGCATGCAGGGCTTGCTGCTGCTGGTCTTTGTGAGGCACGTGCACCTCCCCTTCCTGCGGGATGTTCACACTCACTACACACGCACGGGCCTCTATGGATACTGGGTGAGGAAGTTTCTGAGACTCTACTGCTGGTGGTCGTGTGTGCCCCTGGATGGTTTTGTGGTGGGAGATAGTATACCTGGTTTACTTAAAAATTAATAAGCTGCCAAGCAGTGAGATTCAGTTGTTTGAACCTTGTATGCAAGTGTGCAGCACAGACCACAGTTTTACCAGCTTATTACCTGATGTCCAACCTATGTTGGAAGAAATAGTATTCATTTGCATCTAAATGGCAAGATTTAAAAACATAGAGAATATACATAGAATACATAGAATATATATTAATAGTTACCTTTTCAGATATTGATTATGGGTTCAGAGAATGTTGTTAATCTTCCATGCCAGGGGAACAAAGGAGGAGTCACTGTTCGCATGTCCCTCTATGGTCATACAGTTTGTTTCATGAACTGCCACTTGCCAGCTCACATAGAGAACACCGAGCAGCGACTGGATGACTTTGAGAAGATTCTGGAAATGCAGTTTGAAGGAGAGAATATTCCAAGTACCTTGGATCATGAGTGAGTTGTTCAGACCCTATTCTGTCTGCATGGTTTCTATCTATTACATAGTAAACTCAATCACTGAAGAGTTTTGGTTTTGGAGTTTTCAAGTTTGGGGTATTCATCCCTGAACAAGATTGAAAGGAGGGATTTTCAAAGAAAAGTTAATTTACTTGAAAAGATGGCTTTGCTATTCTTTAAAACACTGCTGGTAATAAATCCCAGTGCTTTGTAATAACAACTTTCTTTCCTAATAACAACAGAATACCCATTATGTTCCCCTGCTTTCCAAAGACACTGAACTAGAGCTCTGAGTTAGTGGATTAACATAACTAGCTGGTGATTAGGTCATGAATTTTGTGAAATATTTTACCTACTATTAAAATGTAATTGCAAATCTGTCTCCAGTGGAGATGTAAGTCATTAGGAGACACTGGAGGAATTAATACCCAGGCAGCAATGAGCAAGCAGCAAGAGTGTAAGTGACTTAATTTATTATTTCAATTCCTGTAATTTTTTTGTTTAGCAGCAGGTTATCCCTCTGTAAGCTTGTCTATAACTACTAAATGTTTGTGTTTAAACTGTTCAGATTAAGTAATATAAGTGATTAGAGCACCTAATTAGTGTAACGGTTTATATGCTATTGAATTCTTCCCTCGTTTTAATGGATTCCTATAAATCTTCCTTGGCTTTTTGCTTTTCTTCAAGTGTTCTCTTCTGGTTTGGAGACCTGAACTTCCGGATAGCAGACTATGGCATCCACTTTGTCCGAGAATCAATAAACAACAAGCGCTACAGTCTGCTGTGGGATAAGGACCAGGTATTCTGCCTTAATCTGGGGGATTTGTTTTTAATGCATTCAAACACATCAGGATAAGAATCATTACTTCTTGACTTTCTAATTTATGTTCAAGAACACAAATTCAGAGCAGTCATGAGGTGGAGCAGATCTAGCTGTTTGCTCTCTCTCTGCTGAGTCATAAGCCCCAATTAATTGCAAACTTTTTTTCTGCTTTTGTTTAGTTTCTTACTCTTACAGTGCTTGTGTTTGCCTGAAGCTTTCTTTGAATTTCACAGCTTATGAATTGTTTCACATCTTAATTTCTCCTCCTTTTTTATTCTCCCAGTAATTGTTTTTTAAGAGAAGCTTATTTTGGAGTTTGAGCAGAACAAACTTACAAAACTTTGAAACAGATGGTGTCAAGAGTTCTGACACTAACAAGGAGGCACTTCTGAATATACCTTTCCAGATATGTTGCACTGACTGATATGTTGAATTCTTCTTGGAGGATGCTTTCTTATTTCCTTTCCTATTTGCCCTTTAAGGTCTGATATTTAAACATAATCTTTAAAAGGTACTTTCTGTTTCTGCAGTTAAATATGGCAAAAAAGAAGGAGCCATTTCTTCAGGACTTCATAGAGGGTCCTCTACAGTTTAAACCCACCTACAAGTTTGACCGCCATTCAGAAGTATATGATACAAGGTAAAAGCATAGTAAGATTAGTTTAGACACAGAATAATAGAGTGCATGTGGTACTTGACCAAATCTCACGTTAGGAAGCAAACCTGCATTTCCTGAAGGTACTGGTTAACTGTGGCTGTTGAGCTACTCTGTTAGGCTCAATCAGTGTTCAGATTTAATAAATGAATATTTCTGGCTGAAGAAGCCTGAGTCTGCTGATTCCATGAGGGAAGTAGTGAAACAACCCGGCTTTCTTTTTGGAAAGACTAAATTAGCAGAATAAACCAGTGCTTTTTTTACTCCACATGGTTTTTTCTGTTCTTTAGTACTAAAAGTGCCCATTGGTTCCTAGCATGAGAAAAAGAAAAAATTGCAATTACTTTTTTCAGAAGTGCCCATTGGTTCCTAGCATGAGAAAAAGGAAAAAAGTAATTGCAATTTTTTAATTTCCTTCTCTGTTTAAGCATTCCATTTCGTACTGCTGATTATTTGAAAATAAATGTAAATGTGTCTTTATAAACTATTGTAAGGTGAAAGTGAAACAGCTTAAGTTTGCTAAGTTTTTCTCTGTCACTGAAGTTTGTTGTTAAGTCTTCTGTTTCAACAGAGGGATAAGTTCCTGTCCAAACAGGGGGTTTGTACTGATCTTTTTCTTTACTTCCAGAGAGCGGAAGTCCCTGTTTTGGTTTAAGTAAGAAGAGAACTTTCTGGATTTCATAGATTTGTAAATATTTCAGAATCAAAACAATGCTCCTTCCTGAGCTTTTGATTTGATTTTTATGAAATATTTGAAAATCAGATGACAGCTGATTTTCTTAGGGATTGTATGAACCTGTCTGAAAGCTGTAGTGTTATCTACTCTGCTGTTGCACTTGGTATTGGAAATATATTCATTTGGATCCATAGACATTTTGCTCCCCAATGGAATGAGAAGACATACAATAACTAAAACTAGTTAAAAAAATACCATAATCCAAACCTTGGCGTTCTAAGAATAAGTCATAGCTGAATAATCTGTATTGGCTCATTTAAAGAATAAGAGGTACACTTGTGCTTGCTGTGTGTGCTCTGTGCTGAAGCTGCGGAGGTGTTTCATTTGGATGCTGGTTGATCAGTAGACCTCAAGGCACACAGCCTAGAACAGTATGCTTTAGATGAAGCAAGACATACTTAATTATCTGTGATACTTTTTCAATATGGATTTTGAGGCTTTTTTCCCTATCTAATATGCTGTTTTCTGTAAAATATCAAGTCTATTAAGTTAAGCTGTTCTCTTGGCATTTTCCTGCACAGCAGAGCAGATGCTCAGCAGCTCATAAAGATTTCTGTTGGTTCATGCAATTCCTGGAGTAAGTGGGATCTAGCCCCTCGGTCATTTAAAGTCTTCCCACCCTATTGTTAATGGGAAGTCAGACTTGTACATGGGGAGGGGTAAAACAAAAGTATGTCGAATATTGAATTAAATAGCCTTTCCAGTTTATGATGATTTTAATATTAAGAGTTTTTAAACTGACAGTTTTCCTTACACATCCTGCTCATTCACTTTAATAATTCAATCTAGTCCGTTCTAATTCCTCTTCATGGGCTATGATCTTTTCTCCATTTAAGTTTATGGTGATACAGAGAGTTGCTGTTAAGCCTTCCTCCCACCACAGGGAGAACAACAAAAGGCTCTTGTGCTCTGTTGTTACTGATACAATATAAAAGGAAACTGAATTCTGATGACAATTTGATGTATAGTACAGCTACAGGTTGCAGATGCAACTTTCTTGATGATGGAATTTTAAGCCCTTTTTTTATGAGGCAGCAATAGCTTACAGACTTGAAAAGTTAGAGGAACTTTTAAGTAAAGCATTACTGTGTCATCTGTGATTTGTGTAAACTACCTAAGTTTGTCCATTATTTGTTGTTAAAACAAAAACTCCAGACATCACTCAGAGTCTTCCTATCTCTTCCTTAGCTTTATGCCCCTTTGCTCAGAATAGCTCTGCATTTGAAGCTTGGGGCAGTTGCTGTGCTATCTCAGTGCTCTTGCATGTTTTTAAGGAGTGCTCTAGGAGAAAGCATCATTTCCCATACAAAGCTGACTAACGTATTGAAATGTCCTTCTCCTCTTCATTTTACTTCTCTCAGAAACCTATGGTAAATGGAGTTGAGTTCAAATGAAGGAAACCTTGGTTTTAAAGCATATTGAACAGAGCAGTAAAATGAATCGGATGTGATTGCCTTCTTTTATTAATATGTATCTGACAGTCATTTAACTTAGAGTAGATTTTGCGTAGTATTCTTAGCTTTTGGAACCTGCTTTTCTTCTCATTTCACTTTTACACTTTTTCAGTGAGAAGAAAAGAAAGCCAGCATGGACTGATAGAATTCTTTGGAGACTGAAACATCTCAGCCGTCGTGCACCTAAAGAAGGCGAAATCACTGACGAACAGACAATTTCTGTTACTTTGAATAACTATATCAGTCACATGAGCTATGGCATCAGCGACCACAAACCTGTGACAGGAACTTTTATGCTTGAGGTACTTTCCCAGTTATCGAGAAAAAGTTTAAGTCTTGCCCTACAGAAGCTGGTATTATAAACTTTTTGAGTCATAATCTCTGTTTTGTTCTGATTAGAATGAAGGCAGCAAACTGCTTTCAGGTTGAGTCCCACAGCAGGTGTGGCAGAGAATAACTTGAAAAGACTAACTGAAAAGATTACAGACTCCACTGACTTTCAGTTCCATTCCTCTGTCTAGATGAAGCCTCTTGTATCAGAACCTCTGGTCACACTGAACCCTGAGGGCGTGTGGAGTGCGGAACGTGATGTTCTGATCAACTATTCCGCAGTGCCTGACTTCCCAAGCAGTGCTTGGGACTGGATTGGACTCTTCAAGGTAACATTACAGCACCATGGCTCTTTATTCCCAGTAAAAGATGTTGAATATGACCAGGGGAGGTAGCTGATACTTTTCTGTCACAGGACATTGTGACTCTTGCCAGTACAAAGTGTGCCGAAATAGTCGTGTATTCTTGGTTGCAGTTAGTTTCTGTGAGCCCACAGTTTAGCTGCATTGCATGCAAGCTCTTCCACACCCCTTAAATCCTCTGCTAATCTAATGTGGTGTTTAAGTAAAATAGTACAGAAACTGGGAAAAGGAAGTGTCCTCCCCTCATGACTGCAGTTCAGAAGAGTTATACAGCAGAGAAAGAATAAAAATAAAAGAAAGTCAGTGGAAGGGTGAGAGAACAGAGCACTCATACTTTCTCAGAAACGAGATTTGTGTGTGCCCGTCAAATATTTTGATCCTAAAAGTGAAGCATTTTAATTACTTCAGTGAAGATTTAAATATCTGTCACAACCTTCAGTTTTCCGTGTTGTATGGCTTTTGTTTCCTTCAGAAGGCCGATGGTTTGCATCTTCTTTGCAGGTAACTTTCAGGCATGTGAATGACTATGTTACTTACGCTTGGGTAGAAGATGATGAAATTTCTTCTAATGAAAACAGTAAACAGGTAAGCCAATTGTATTTCTTTCTAATGTAGCTTTCTATAGAGTGGCATTCAAGGTCTGTTTGTTCCGTATCCCTTTCCTTTTACAGGTTCTGTATCCTCTTTCCCAGTTAAAGCTAATTGCAGAATCACACAGAATCACAGAATCTTAGGGGTTGGAAGGAACCTCGAAAAATCATCCAGTGCAACCCCCCTGCCAGGCAGGATCACCCAGAGCACATCACTCAGGAATGTGTCCAGGCGGGTTTTGAATGTCTCCAGCCAAGGAGGCTCCACAACCTCTCTGGGCAGCCTGTTCCAGGGCTCTGTGACTCTCACAGTAAAGAAGTTTTTTTTTATGCTTACGTGGAACCTTCCGTGTTCCAGTTTGCACCCATCACCCCTTGTCCTATCACTGCACATCACTGAACAAAGCCTGGCTCTGTCCTCCTGACACTTTCCCTTAACATATTTGTAAACACTGATGAGGTCACCCCTCAGTCTCCTCTTCTCCAGGCTAAAGACACCCAGCTCCCTCAGCCTTTCCTCATCAGGGAGATGTTCCACTCCCTTCATCGTCTTTGTGGCTCTGCGCTGCACCCTGTCAAGCAGTTCCCTGTCCTTGAACTGAGGGGCCCAGACCTGGACACAATATTCCAGGTGTAGCCTCACCCGACACATAACGGGGAATTCCCTCACCTAATGGGGAATGATATTATTGTTTAAAAATCCCTCCTCCTAATTTTTATTAATTTTTGGGTAGTCTAGCACACCTCAGATGTGATGATATTGCTTAGGGGAACTGATGAAAAAGCAATTTATTCCTGTAGTGACTTTTCATTTTATTAAAAACTGCTATAATTTTATCTTTTGGTCTGTTTCTGCCAGTGCAATAAGTACCTGGCCATTTTGTCATCTGATTGTCCAAGTTACTCAAATACCCTAAGTATTTATTGGGTGAGTTTTGTTACAGTTGTAAGTACCTAATGTTACTGACACAGCTAGTTCCAGATGTGGTGCAGGATATTCAGCTTCCCTCTCTGACTTAGTTTCCAGATCATTTAATGAGTTATTTCTGTTCTCATCCTTTTATCTTGTGTTTCAAGACTTTTGCTTATGAATAGTAAATATCATTTTTATGGTATCCTAAGTGGCATAGACTTTTTTTTTTGTGAGCTTCTTTCTCTGTGGGAATTGCCCACTGCCTGTTCTTTTTCTTGTCAACAGGTTTACATGAGTGCTGCAGAAATACCTGATAATGGAGGAGAATTTTTGCTTTGTTATTATAGCAATAATTTGCAGTCAGTAGTTGGTGTCAGCCAGCCTTTTCAGGTAATATATTTGGAAGCTCTGATTAATGTTGCTGTGATTTTTATTTCTTTTGCTTTCATGTGCATTTGAACATAGGTGTGTGCTGCTGTGTTGATTCTGGGGGAGGTGGCAGCAGAAGTAATTGCAGAAAGGATATGTGCTGGCTAATGTCTGGTAAAAGAATTTGCTGATATGCTAAAATACACTGAACAATACGAAGTAAGATGCGTTTCTCTCTCTCAGCCATCAGTTTTGGAACTTCAGGCTCTGTTAGTTAGGTCCCTAATTTCTGTGAAGATGGGAATTGAATTCAAGTGCTGCCAAGTTTCTGACAGATTTTAAGTGAACAATTTGTGATCTGTGGTAGACCTGCACAGAAGTGGAAAGTGTTTTTTTGCTATATGTATTTTTGTAATTTTATAATTGTTGCATTAATGCATCACTTCTGATGTCAGTTTCTAGCAAGTATGAAAGACATCTTTACATAACTATTGGTAGTATAGAGCAACACAGTTTTTCTGAATGTGTTAATTTGTTTTTTAACTACTGTCTTTCTTCTAGATTCAGCCCAACAGAACATTAATAGGAAAGGATCTGACACAGGAAGAGAGCAGTGGAGGCAGGAACCTGACAATCGAACCACGTAACGAGTTCTGAAGGCAGAAAGGACATTTACTGGTCCTAATTCAGGAGTCATATGATTCTTTATGTCTTAGTGATTATAAGCTTTTACTCTTAGAAGACAGAGTAAGTGCAAGTAAGACAGGTAGGATTGTTCAGAAACTTTGTAAGCTTATAGAAGATAATTTATTGTGGAAACAGATATTTTTATTGTTATGGGGAGAGTAACTCTCTTGCACTGGATGAGAACTGTTAAAATAGCATGTGTTAGTAGTATGTTGCAAGGTGATAGGCGTTTCTAACCCAATTATTTTACCTAAGTTGCCATCTATAATAGATTTTAGGCTTGCTCCTTTTTTTGTAAAGGATATTTTATTTACCATATTTACTATGCTGTAGATACTTAGGAGCTGATTTCCAAAGTTTGAGTTTAAATGAAGTTATTAAAAAATTATTTATTAGATACAGCTTGTTAGCTTGTTTTAAAATTTTTGTTTGACTTTCAGATGTAAGCTAGTTACCTTCTGGGAAACACACATGGCAACAGGTCACATGAAAACAAAATCTTTCATGGAATCATTTTGGTTGGAAAAGACCTTTAAGATCATCAAGTCCAACCATGCTTTTTGGTAGTAGATCCCTTTTCTTCATGCCTTACTGATAACTGTAGGATTTTCCATCTTGATTTTTCCAGATTGATACACATTTGTCAAAACACATATTTCTTGATTTTTAAAAAAATTATTCTTCTTTTATAAAACAATTTAGCAATTTCCCTATTGTGTTTCTTCCTGTGATTTTTTTTTTTTTTTTTTTAGAAAAGTAAAACTCCCACATTTTTATACTAGTCCCTGGCTCGGTGTTAACCAGGATCCCACAATTTCTGAAAGAAATGCCTTAGCATAAGTGAACAAACCATGGCAAAAAACTAATGGTCATGGTAGTAACTCCAGTTGCTTTCTGTTGTCATTCTGAATTTAGAAATCTAAAGCCAAATTTAAGTGCTTCCCTGATACCATCCTGCCACATAATTGCTACACTTAATGCAGGGATTATGTGAATTATAAATGGGAAAATTCAATGGAACAGAATTCTTTCTTATGGCATAACCTGTGCTGCCAAAATTGTAAATCTCTTTCATTTATAGCAATCAGTCTGGAAAATTTCTATTTTTCTAGAGGTGCTTAGACCTTAATTTATCCTGTGCACTTAATGGTGAAGATGGAATAAGAAACATTACGTACCTTTGGAAACCTGAAAGGTAGTTAGCTTCTTGATGAGGAAATGGAGATTATTGGAAAGGATTGTAAGAGGCAACAGCATTCCACAGAATCTCAGATTGCAGTGCCAGAAAAGAGCACTTGTGAGTCTCCCATGTTCTAGATAGACACCTTCGAGCTACCTACTGTGGATGGTAAGTAGAGTTAGTTACCAATCACTGTCACGTTGGTTATGGATGGAAAAGAGAAAATCTGGTTCAGGTGAAAGGGCAAAACAAAGGATGTTGGTGTGTTTATGCTGGAATATTGCTTCAATACTGAACTGATTTTTTTCTTACTCTTTTTCTCAAAGCCTTAGTTTTTTCAGGATTCTTTTGAGACAGAAAGTTAACGCCTTGATATAACAGTTGTTTTGCAGTTACTTGCTTATATCATCCACTGTATAAAATCTTCTGGGGTCTTTGTATACTGCAGAAACTATTGCATAAATTGCTAATCAGGTAGCTGCAGTGGGGGGGTGTTTAAGAACACCCAGCCCAGTAAGTATTAGTTAGTTGTATCTCAGCTTAATGCTTGGTGTTGGGAACTGTTTCCAGTTGTAAGTAGTGAGGGCAGGTTGAGAGGATACTGTGTTCATTGCATGGATTCAAACTGCCTTGAGGTTTACAGTTTGTACATTCCTGTTACACTTTGGAACAATATTTGCAACACTTTCACGTTTGTACCAGTCTTATAGAACTTGTTTTGCACTGAATCTTTCAGATCTGTGACTTTCCATGGCAATTAGGGCATCAGACCAATCCCTGTGGAATTGCAGAGATTTTGCAGTTCCTGAGTTGTACTCTTTTTCTGACTTGACTTGTGTAACTGTATGACTGCACTCCACACATGGAGATTCTGTGGAGAGCTCAAAGAACAGTGGTCTTGGAATGTGAGACCACAGCTGGCCTTTTATTGTGGACCAAGATCCAGTGTCTTCTATCTGGGTGCATCTGCTGTTCCTGAGCAGCTCCGAGGGGGAGCCAAACAGCCACTGTCCATGGGCAAGAAACTCAAGATCCTTAACGTTGTCCCAAGCTGATAATCCCCGCAGGCACTGGACGTACAAGCTGCATTTTGTAAACTAATCCTTTGAACCACAGGACTTCACTGAAAATGCCCACAGCAGCTCTGACTGAATCTCCTTGTGTGTTGTTAAGATGCAGCACAGAACTGTATATTTCTTTCTTGAGTATTATGCACACAGTAGCACTTTTGTTTACTACTGTTACCTGTAGTAGCTCTTCTATTCTATGACCTGTAATGATGCAATTTCTGATGAAATTTACCTTTCTTAAAGCACCTTCAATGGGTTGTTATAATCACTGGAAATGTTTTTATACTTGTGTTTTCTTTTCATGTACCACTAAAATAAATCCTGGCAGTGAATGTTCTACATGGTTTCTATTATAAATCTAAGAATGAACACTGTTTTGTGTGTGTAAGATTAATTTGGGCATGGTTACCTTTGTCCACATATTTAATGTGCAGGTACAACAGTATTTTAGAATGGAAATAAGTTAGTAATAATATTTGCAGCAGGGTTTTGGACTGCAAAAGAAGGGCTGGGACAAATACTGGTTTTCTTTTGGACAGAGCAGATTCTTCTATATCCTTCTTGCATTGAAATTAATCACATATTAAATTGACTTCTATTGTGGGTTCTCTGTGTGTCCTCCAAGCACAGGAGGAAGGAGTTTCGATAATTTCCTTGTAAAAATGCTCAAGCCACCTAGATTGCTTCCTTAATTTTTAAGAACAGGTTCTTCTAAATACATTTTTTTTCTCAGTGAATTTTTCACAATATTATTTGAGATGCCTTTTTCTGTCTTTGTGAAAGATCTGCTACATCGTAATTCTTATTTTTACTTTTGTATGTTTTAATACAAATTTGCTATCAAATAATTTCCATCGAAGGGTGACTTTGAAATTCCCTGCTGTTAGAGAACCTACTATAAATAGGAAAAATATCTACCAAGGAATGTTTTCCAGGATAGCCTTATTTAACTTCCCTGTATTTCTGATTCCTAGCTAACCTCAGGATGTGCAGTGTATCATTGCACACAGATAGTACAGCTCTATGTAAACAGGAAATATTTCTAAGACATCTTGCGTGTTTGTTGGGCCCTAAAAATATGTTTCGATAAAGACTATTGTTTCTACTACCACTGCTTCCTTCTCTGCTCTTGGACACTTCAGTGACACTCAGATGAACTTGTCTTAATTAATGTACTGTGGTGGAAAGGCCAGTTGAACAAAGCTTGAATTAGTTTTTCCTTGAGAGAGGAAACAAGACCTTTATTGAGAGCTCTGCATGACAAAGAGGAATATTTCCGATGGCCCTTTCTCTCCTGGGATGTAGGGACTATTTGAAAGTGATTGAAACAAAACAGTATCAGAACCACAGAATGTTAGGGGTTGGAAGGGACCTTGAACCATCTGGTCCAACCCCCGATTTCTCTTGTAATAGCAAGATGCAGAGAACACAGAAAGTTCCTTGTACTCATCACTGCTTGAATACCAGTGGTATTTAACTTTCTTGCTCCAGCATTGAGCAGACAATATCCTAGTTTCCTTATACCTCTTTTTTCTTTATACCAATCTTGAAAGAGAATGGAGAAAAAGATGTCTGTGTCTCTTCAGGTGCAAACTCAAAGTTGTGTGGCACACACAGAGTAAGCTGTGCTTTGTGTGAGCTGATTTGTTTAGCCAAGACAAGGGCACTCACTGCCTGATAGATGGAAACAGCTCCTCAGGAGCTACACTGAACTTGTCTGTTCAATTGCTTCCACTTAAGAAAAAGTGTGTGTGTACATCCCACCTCCCTGTATTACAGTGGAACTGTCATCTTCCCCTTACAAGGTCTCTGCCAGGGAACCTGTGTGGGAGCTTTGGAAGCAGAGGTTGGAAGAATCACTGGAGGAAAACAGTGAAGTCAAGGAAATGGAGAAGCATGGGAAAAATTAAAAGAAGAAGGATTTACTGGCAGCACAAAAAGAAGAAAGCTACAATAGCAAACATTTAACCTGTTAAGCATGCTTTGTTTGATACTGACAGTTACAGATAGAGACATCAGCCCTAGTAGGGAATGTTTCAGCATTGTTTATCAGATAAAAGCTTTACTGTAACTGGTTTTAAAGTGTCTCAGCAGAGACCACACCATGTTCCTCTCTTCCCTCTTCTGTTCTCTTTTATATACATATATTCTTCAGCCTCTTTCTACTTTTTTATCCTGGTTTTTTTTTCCCCCCTCTTTTTCTCAGCAGGTGTTTTTGCACATTATTCTGGTATCTGCATCACAGAAATCATTCCAGTTAAACAGCCTTGTGTTCTAGACTCCTGAACTTTGTCATGTCTCTGTATAGGAAGGGTAGACAAGATAGGCCAGCTATTGCACCATATTACTGAGTAGGGTGGGGGTTTTTTGGAAAATGACAGTAATGGGGTTTTAAAAATTTGATTAAATCTCTTTTTCAGTAGAATCTTATATTCGGAGGTAAGTGGTCAAGGAAACAATTGTTGAACTGGAATAATCTTGTCTATAACAGCTAAGGAAAGTGTAAGAATAATTCCAGATACAGAAGACAGAACAGCAACAGGCCATTTTGGTTACTGATCAGAATGGTGTTCTCGGTATCTGCTCTCAAATGCCCAGATACCTGTTAACATCTAGGTTGGGTTTGGTTTTGGGTTTTGACAAGTGGTGTCATCTGGAATTGGTTTGTAGTAGAGCTGAAAATTCAAATGTGGCTATTCCAAGAAGATAGAAGGGATACC